TTTCATAACATTTGTAAACTGCAGCCTCTTAAGACATTAAACTCACTGAAAAGAAACAAAACACACACATATAATGAGATAAATGTAAATATGTATGAAATAGAATTGCATTTTCTCCCTTGGTTTCTAAGGTACTTATTACAATACTAGCTACAAATATGTTGGAAAGGTGAAGCATTCATAAAGAAAAAGAGATGAAGCTGGACACAGGTGGCTCTTGCCTCTCATCCCGGTTATGTGGGAAGCTGATATCACAAGGACTGTGATTCTAGAGCTGCCTCAGGCAAAAAAAAAAGTTTACAAGGCCCCATCTCAACAGAAAAAGCAAGGCATGCTGGTGTGTGCCTGTCACTGCAGCTACGGTTGGAAATGAAATAGGAGGAATGTGGTCCAGGCTGGCATGGGAAAAAGGCAAGATATTATCTCAAAAAATAACCAAAGCAAAAAGAAATGGAGGTGTGGCTCAAGTGATAGAGAGCCTGTCTGGCAAAATGCAAAGCCCTGAGTTCAAATCCTAGTACCACCAGGAAAATAAAAAGAAAGAAAGAAGGTAAGATGGGAATAATAGAATAGAAATGGTCCACACATCATATTTTCTTTGGATCATTTTTACGTTCATATAATATCAGTGATAAGCAGTATGATGTAGTGGTATCTTTTGTAAAAAAAAATCACTAAATTAAATTAACAAAATAGATAAAGTCCAAGTCAGGCTCCAACTCTATAAGATGACAGGGTAAACTAGATGATCTGAGATTGATTCTAAATCCCAAACTTTTAATAATCTTTACAACATTTGATCAATAAGGCTATCATACCACATATAATAAAGCATTAAAAGAATTGAACCACGTAAATAAAACAATAGGATGCAAAAAGTATCCAAAAGATAAAATATTTGAAAACATACAGTATTCTATAATATCTGAAAATTAATGTTGGATATATGACTTTATGTGTTTATATATGATAAAATACTGTGTGTGGGCTAGGTATGGTGGCTCTTGATCTGGTCATGATTGTAGCTACTTAGGAAGCAGAGGTCAGGAGGACTGTGAGGGAAAAAAAGTTGGCAAGATTCCGTCTCAATAGAAAAAGCTGGCTGTAATAGTGCATGCCTGTTATTTCAGCTACTGCAGGAAGTGTAAATAGAAGGATCACAGGCCAGGGACATCAGGAGACCCTATTTCAAAAGTAACTGAAGCAAAAAGGGATGGGGGCCTAGCTCAAGTGGTAGAGTGCCTGTTTAGCATGCACAAGGCCCTGAGTTCAAACCCCAGTATCACCAAAACAAAAGGGTGTGGTTTTATAGGTTTACTTATAAAATGCAATTATTTTGATCTGACTATCAAGGATACTGGACATTACAGGGAGAAATGTTTATATTTGGATTATATGAATAAAAAAAGTCAACTCTTGGACTTCAAATAGCACCCAGAAATACAGTATGAGTTGATGTGTTGTTTGTACAAGTATCATCCAAGAAGCACAGTATAGAATGTACACTGCAGATTGAATGTCACTAACTCCTCACCACACACGTCACTGACATCAGCCAAGGAAGCTGGAATATGGAGGACAGCCACAGACAGGTGGTGGTTGACTTCAGAATCTTAGGATGCCAGTAATTCAAAGCACAATGAGTGAATCTGTTTGGTAAAATGAAGATTTCAGGAGGAAAATGGTGGCAAGTAAGGTATAAGAAAGAGTGAAGGACAGACTGAGCAGCCTTGGGTACATAAAGAAAAGTCTAAAGCCCAAAGGACCCTGGGCACCAAGAATGGAGACAATGAGGCGAACCTCAGAGTTGACAACATATTTTTTGGAGAGGGAGAAGTCCTGGAGTTTGAAATCAGGACTTCACACTTGCTAGGCAAGCACACCACCACTGAGCCACTCCACCAGCTCTTTCTTTTCGTGTTAGCTATTTTTAAGATAAGGTCATGCAAACTATTTGCCTGGGCTGGCTTTGAGCTGCGATCCTCCTGATCCTCTGCCTTCTGAGTAGCTAGACTTACCAGCATGAGCCACTAGTGCCTGGCTTCACAACTATTTCAGGAAAGGAATGGGAAAAGAAAGTCACGAAACCAGTGCCACAGTCAATGACAGGACCCTCACACTTTGTTTTGTCAGTGAACACAGGCCAACCAATTATTTCTACTTTTCAGCAGCAAAAGAACAATAACTAAGTAAATAACAGATTCAATTTGTAGGGTTTAGGGAGAGAAAGACAGACAGAGAAAAGAGGTAAAGGGAAAAGGGGAAGGAGGGAAAGAGAGGAGGAATTTTTGATTTCATAAGAGGGACACAGATGAAACATACTGGATATATCACAAGCATGTTCACTGATTTAAAATCAGTGAGGCAAATACTTATGATATAGATATGAATAATCACAACCACAGGGTTAACCAAACAATGTATAATAACCATGTTGATGATTAATCTAATTAAAATTTATAACAAAAAATAAAGCACAACAATAATAGAAAATCATGAGTAAGTAAAGACAATCAATTACAAGATTTCTTTCTACCAAATTCCAGAGATCATAATTACCTGAGTGTTATGGTTTGGATATGAAATGTACCTAAAAAGTTCATGTGTTGAAGGCTTAGTCCACAGCTGGTGGCACCAGTGAAAGTTAAGTGGATTATGATGGCACTAACTTAATGAATTGATGAGTTCACAGCTGAATAAACTATGAAGAGGTAGGGCCTATTTGGAGGGAGTAGGTCACTGGAGGGGGTGCCTTTGATGGGTATCTTATCCCCTGACCTGTCCTCCCTCTGAGCTTCCTGGCTGCCATAAGGAGAACAGCTTTTCTCCACCATGTCCTTTTATCATGATGCTTCCACCATACTATGACCTAACAGCAATGTAGATAGGTAACCACAGCGTAAAAGCTCTGAAACCATGAGCCCAAATAAATCTTTCCTCCTTTAAGCTGTTTTGCTCAAGTATTTTGTTTTAGCAATGAAAAGCAAACTAGTATGAGTACACAATATAGGAATCCTATTATACTGTCAACACCAACCAGAAGTCAAACTTCTTCTGAAAAAAATGAATCAAAGTATTTGAAAAACACCAATTATGTTAATTTTAGCTAAATTTCAAATTTGGAGCCATCAATAATTCATATACTTTTATGTGCAAATGAAAATCTTTGTGATGCTGCATTTCCTAAAAGCAGCTAACATTAATTATGTACATGGTATATGAGTCAGGCAGTTTTTGAAGTGCTGTGCATATATTTATCTCATTTCTTCATTATAAATTTATGGGATAGAGTATAATCTATTTTATAGATGAGGGTACCAGCATATAAACACATAACTAAATAATAAAACTGAGATTCAAATCCCAGCATTCTGATTAAAGTTTTTACAATCTTAACCACTAAACTATACTTTCTTTAGAACTTCCATTTTTTGATCCAACGCAGCCTCCACAGGATGCAAAAGACCATTTTCTGCAGAATTTAGACCATTTTCTGAGAATCATCTGAAACTATGATGAGAGCTCAAAGTAACATTAATAGCATTGAGCAGGGAAAGTGGGAGTCAGAGTTGGATTCTGTAGAAATTAAGAATTGACAAAAGTTGGAGATTGAGGAAAAAAGCAAGGAGAACGTGGAGTATTAAATGACTGTAATAAGAAGGGGAACTGAGGAAATAAGAGGGAACTACAGTAGAAAATAGCAATGTATGCAATTGGGATGGAGTTAGTTTGATTCATAGACTTTGGGGTGCATATGAGACTGAGACGTTCAAGTATAGAAACTGGCTCCAGCAACTTGACAACAGAGCAGGCAATGGGTCAAGCATAATGGAGATAGATATCCCTTTACCTGCACTGCTGATTTCCCCCAGCTGAAATCATTCCTAGTTGAGAAAGTTAGTGGATGATGGAGAGAAGTGAGTGTGAGGACTGTTGGGGTGAGGTGGTTAAAATTAGAGTCAGCATGCCTGAGTGTAAAATCAAGAGAATAAAAACTGGGATCAGAGAAAACCACCTAGCACAAATCCTGGTCTCACTTCCTGACAGAGTGCTGACCACAGTTTCTTTTGTTTTCCATTCTCTGTATACACAGCCTATGTTTGCCAATACTCTGTAAGTCCTGTAAGTGCCAGCATCTTAACAATTTTACAGGATTTGAGGAGCCTAGACCAGTGTAAAGCTGTCTGACAGTTTATTTAGTCAGAGATGTTTCTCCCTTTGACAAGAAATTAGGAGATTGCGTCACAGATGATGAAAGTTCTTTCAGGTCTAAAGTTTAAATATCAGTAGCCTAGTTCATCACCCTCATTAGTAGACTAACATTCCAGCTTTATCACAACAAGATGAGAGGAAGAAACAGAAGCCAGGAGGTAACAAAACAAACTTAAGAACTGGAAACACCTACATGGATGTCCTGAACTAGTTACTAGTCATGTCAGCCTAATCAGTTCAGAGGACTCCTTCAGACAAAAGAATAAGATATTTTGGTTGGATGCTTATTAGAATTTAGAAGTCTTCATTTTCTCAACTTTAAGCGGAAACAATGGCAGAAATAATGAAAACACCAATAAAATAGAAGGTTTTTAATCTTTTATCACTAAAAATTTTAAATTACTAAAATTTAAAATATTAAAAAATATTTTTAAAAAACTTTTTGTGATCTTTTGTAAAAAATTAAATTAGGGTGGGAAGCTAAAAACATAACTCTGACTTCAGCTAAAAGCGATGACCAAAATTAAATGAATTTAGAGATGCTGGCTAAGTTTTCCAAACCAAAATCTCAGAAAAAATATTCCTTCGGAAAACACCATGAGAATAATTTCTTAGTGATTATTACCTTTCCTTATATAAAGCATGCCCTTTGAAACTTAATTGTGAATAATTGGCTTTCAGTATAGCTGTAGTGATGATGATTAATTAACTTGTGTATATGTTATTTAGCTTTCAAGTACTATAATGACATGAATAAGCAACATTAAGACTAGAATTCAGGCTAAGAATTAAAAGCAACAATGAAGAGCAAAATACTTACCATATGGCACTTCCAGTGGATGCCCTGTTACATCACACCATCCAACAGGATGAATGTCAGGGCTGTCTGCATCCATCCAATAGTCATACTTATGGTCCCAACCATCAAAATGAATCTGTTAAAATGAGTTGAATAATTACTATTTTACAATTAGTATTTCACTATTCCTTTATCAAAATATTTGAAAACAGATCTCTGAAGCTGAGATTGAAATTTTATTTAAAAAAAAAATCACACCATCAGCTGAAACAGTATTTAGAATATGCTATCGTACAGTATTCTGATCTAGCCAACAAAGGCTCCTGTCCCAATCTTTCAAAGAAATAAGCTAGGAAATGAAAATTCTGTCAGAGATTCATTAGAATTTGAAGGTATAAGAATAATCTGTCTTCCAAACAAAGACAAATCCTATAATGCTGTTCAGGAGACATTTCCTGTCCTTGGTGACTGTCTTGGTAGCCACTGCAAACACCATATCAACACGACAGTAACAGTCACCAAACTGACATAAATGCATGCCAGTTACTGATGGGAGGCATGGACTACAATACAAGGAGCAATAAATTCTGAAACCCTCACAAGTGAGGGGAGATAGAATAGGAAACGAGGCAAAGACAGAAGCCAAAATACTGTACTGAGGTAGATGGATTTTTAACCGCTACCTTGGTAACTAAGAAAGATCAAGTGCAATCAGGAAATCTTCCAAGGGGGATGCTAGGTCTAGCAATCCGAGGCTCATTTATCCCCACTTTGTATTTTATCTAACACATGCATGCACACACATGTATGAACAGCATCAATTTATGAAGAAAATCAAATTACTATTTTTTAAATAACCATGTTTTAGAAGTTTCATTTCTGGATGGAAAAGTCAATTTTTGTTCAGGAAAACAAGAATGAAAAGAATTCATTATATAACCCCCATTTATCCTCTTAATGTATTTTTGGATTTTAATTATGAGTTACATGGAGAATTCACCCATTTTAATGCAAAAACACTGCTTTTGAAAATAATACTGTGAATAAATAGAGCAAGGTGCCTAGCACCACAATACATTAATGTAAAGATAAATCTATTATGCAGGACATAGGACTAAGAGGAAGAAAGGCAAAATTATCTGCATTAGTTCCCAACAGTTTTTCTCAGGATTCATCTTTCTAAGCAAGAGCTTTTCAAAGGGTGGTTCCCAGAGCAGCACAACCTGGACATATATGTTAGGGATGCAGTTCCCTAGGCCTCACATCAATCCCAAGGAGCCAGCAGCTTTGGAGGGTGGGCCTCAAGCTCTGCATTAATAAGAGCTCCAGATGCTACAGTTTAAGGACCAGTCATCTCAAGGACAACTCTCACAAGCATATTTCTACCACACCTAGGCCCTGGCCAAAAAGAGTAATAACGACATACTGAACAAAACACATGCACTGACAGCTGTTAGACCTGAACAAGTGGCAGCACAGAAATGCAATCCCTGCATAAAGGAAAAATATCCCAGAAGAACATCACTATCAGTTCTGAGACAATGCAGCAAAGAAATGGAAACTCTAAAAGAGAAGCACCTGGAAATTCCAGAACTGAAAAACAAAGTGTCTGAGAAAAAAAAGTTGTTAAATGGGTTCAAAAGAAGACTGGAAATAGCAGGAAGGTGGGTGAGTGGCCACGAACACAGACTCAAAGAGATTATTAATGTAAAGAGCATATAAGCCAAGCGAGGTGGCATTGCCTATAACCCTAGTAAGCTGATGGATATCAGCAGGATGGTAGTCCAAAGACAGCCAGGGAAATGGTTCACAAGACCTCATCTCAACCAACAACAATACAGACGGGGTGCCGCACACCTGCCATTCCAGTTACATGGCAGTTACAAGGAAAGCATAAATAGGAGTATCTTGGTAGGAGTATCTTGGCCAGGACCTAAATGCAAGACTCAAAAAAGTAATCAAAGCAAAGAGCTGGGGATATGGGTCAAGTGCTATAGTACCTGCTAGCAAGCATGAGGACCTGAGTTCAAACCCTACTACTGCCAAAGAAAAACAAAGGTAATGTAAGATTTTAATAATGAAGAGAGCCTCAGACACTTGTGAGGTAACAAGCTCTGGGTTCCACAGGACAGAGAGGAAAAATGAAGCAGTTATAATAGTCAAGTGAACCAAACAGAATGACAGTGAAAAGTCACTCTAATTTGGCCTAAAACACTCACTTACAAATTTAACAAAAAACCCTAAGCATATAGGTATAAAGGAAATCAAAATTATGTAAATCATAGCTTGGACCAGTGGCTCATGCCTGTCATCCTTGCTAACTGAGAGGCAGAGATCTAGAGCATCACAGTTTGAGGCCAGCCCGAACAAACAGTTCATTAGACACCATTACCAAAATAATCAAACCAAAATGGACTAGAGATGAAGCTCAAACAGTAGAGCACCTGCTTTGCAAGTATGAAGCCCTGAGTTCAAATTCCAGACCCACAAAAAACTATGCAAATCATAGCAAATGAAAGACAAAGGGAATCCTGAAAGCAATCAGGGAAATGTGGTACAGTACATCCAGCGAAACTATGACAGGACAGTTGGCCAGCTTGTCATCAGAAACTGTGGAGGCAAAAGAATGCAAAACATCAACCCAGGGTTCTAAGTCCTACAAAAATTTCTCAATTAAAAATAAAATAAAGCAAACTTCAGATTAAAAACCATAAAAATAATCACCTACAGATTTTCAGCAAAAGAAATGTTAAAGTATTTTAGGCTGAAGGCAAGTGATGCCAGATGGAAACTCTAAATCCATAGGAATGAATGAAAAGGCCAGAAAAGGCAACTATATGGGGAAATATGCAAGGCTAGCTTCGCATTGTAAGCATAAGCAATTAATTCAACACAACAGAATAAAGACAAAAATGATATGGTCATCTCCATGAACACAGGAGGTTTGAAGAGTGGCTCAAGTGGTGAAGCACCTGCCCAGTCAGTATAAGGCTCTGAATTCCAAACCCTATACTGCCCCCTCACCCCAAAAAAGACCAATGGACACAGGAAATGTGTTAAAGTTTAAAACACAATGAAAGATACTGTTAGCAAACTAGAAATAAAAGGGATTCCCTGATTTTGACAAAGGGAGGACATCCGTAACAAACATAGCTAATATTGTACTAAATCAAAAACTCAGCAAAGAGGCAACATCATCTCCTTACCATTTCTATTCATACTGTGACGCCACAAGCATTATTTACGTAGTAAATTATGAGACAGCTAAAAATTGAAAAGTATAGGAATTTAGCATGGATAAGGTCAACCAACACAACTATATTCCTATATATAAGAAACAACGTGAAAAATAACTTACAAATTTTGTTAAGAATAGCATTAAAAAAACACAAAGAAGCATGGCAAGGTGATACATGTCTATAATCCCAGCACTCACAAGGCTGAGGCAGGAAAACTGAGAGTTCCTGCCTCTATGGAACTATATAGCAAGACCCTGTGTCAACAACAATCAATGTAAAACTTAGCAAAAAATTGTGATAAATTAATAAAGTGTGCAAGACTGAGAAATGACAAAGTATTCCTAGGAGAATTTAAGAATGCTCTATATAATTGGAGAGAAATGCCAAGCCCATAGGCTGAAAGACTCAACATAATTATTAAGATGCTATTTCCTCCCAGATTGCTCAATATACTCAATAAATCCCATTCAAAACAGAAGTGGTTTTTTGGGTGTCACTGACAATCTCACTCTGACATTATAAAGAAATGAAAATGGCCTATAATCTAAACAATTTTGAAAAATATTGGTAAAGTTGGAGGATTTATATCCCCTGATTTCTAGCTTTTCTGCAGACAGTTATTAGGATAGCAATGTAATGACTTAGGACAGATGAATATATTAAAAGAACAGTGTGCATAAATGGACACACATTTTCATATAATCAATTCATTTTCAAATACTATGGTAAGGTAGGTATTTAACAGAGAAAGGATATCTTTTTGACAAATGGTGTTGGAATAGCTAGACATCCATATGTAAAAAAAAATGAACCAGCTGACTTCTATCTTATATTCCACATGCAAATGAATTTGAAATGAACCATAAAACTAAACACAAACCATAAAATTTCTGATAAAATCATTATGATATTTGGATATTCAGGAATTTATTAGCACATAGAAAGCAGTACCAACAGAAGAAATAAATTAATATCAGTAATCAGAAACTCCTGGTTTTTTTTAAATCAGGAAGAAAAAGGAAAAGCAAGAGCAAGTTACAGGCATTTGCAACACATCTATGAGACTAAAGATAACAAAAAAAATCCAATTAAACTGGGCAAAAGACTCAATGGACAGTTTGAAAACAAGAAGGCTCATGAATGATCAATAAGGAAACAGAGAAACCAAATGAGTTTCTATTGCACACACACCCGAAAGGCTTAAATTGAGTGACTGGTGACATGAGTCATCACTGAGGCACTGGACTTCCCTAACATTCACCAGTGATGGTAGGGGCAAACAAGACAGGCTGAATAATCCAGCAGGATTCTGCTTTGACATGTCAGGTCGTTCTATTTCATGTACTGTGCAATTAGGTCTAAAACTGATAATGTAGAAAGTTCAAAGTTTCTTTGACAGCAGACATGATGTTTATATGTACTCCATTCAATACTTTCCTCTGAAGTTCATTAAGAAACAGTCACTCATCCTTTCTAAAGCTGTCTATAATTAGTTTTGATGGAGCCTCTCCTAATCCAATGTGATCCCTCCTTCCAGTGCAAGGGCTGCCTTAAACATGAAATACAGCACAATTCTACACCCACATACATCATTATGAAAGACATTTTCATTATTTTGGGTCTTCATATCTTTGGAGTGAAAATCCAATTTCAAAAATTCTAACCAGATGGTCAAGTTAATAGAGGAGATTGGTATTTTAAGGATATTTATAGAGTTGCTTTTGGAAAGCAAAGAATCCTTTGGAAACCAAATCACCTCCAGCATCATACTTTATATAGCTATGATTTTTCACATATTTGGGACTGTATAAAGTGAACATATATAGATGATTCTTATTCCAGCTTTGGTAAATTATAAACCAAAGTTCAGATCACTGAATCAACTATGGTCTCAAGT